CTCTGTTTCATCCAAATGAAATCCAGATTCTTGTATTCCAGTGTCCACCCTCATAGTCACATCTGCAAGGTCCTGGTCAATCTGGTATGCGAAATCCAGAACTCAGGTGCTCAGTCACATAAATGTTCCAGCCTTTTAGGGTCTAGAGTTTATGTCTTGCCTCCACCAATGCTCAGCCCCATGATACCCCTTCCTGAAGTGTCACCAACCACCTGGAGGCCAATATTGTATATCAGTCCAGAGGCCTCCCCCACTTTGACTACCGTGTTGCAATCTAGAGAGGGCACATGGGGGAGTCTATTCTTAGGAGGTAAAATGAGACAATTACATAATCAGGACCAAAGGCCACCCTTCTCTTTCAGGTAATATAAAGGCGGTCCCAGGCTTTGATATCTGACTTCCACCTCTGCAGGCACGATGCTGGCCTCAGGCTTACTTCTCGTGTCTTTCCTGGCCTTCCTGAGTGTAATCATTCTGATATCTATCTGGAAACAGAGAAAGCTCCAAGGGAAACTGCCTCCTGGACCCACACCACTACCCTTCATTGGAAACTACCTGCAGTTGGACCCAGAGCATATGTACAACTCCATCATGAAGGTATTGTCAATGGGGGGGTACAATGAGGTGGGTGATAAGGTACACATGAGATGGTGATTTGTGGCCAAGAATTGGCTAGAAAAGATGATGTGTTAAGATAGGATGGTTTTCAGAGTTCATCTTCCAGGTACTAAATGGGGAAAATATTAGGATGTTCATCTCCTTGCTTCTCAGGGCCTTGGACAAATGCATTCCAGTGGCAGATTTCTGAGTACTGGGCCAGTACACCTGGCATCCCTAACCACTCTTACCCACCTTCATCAGATCAGAGAGCGTTATGGCCCAGTGTTCACCATCCATATGGGTACCCGTCGGATCGTGGTGCTGTGTGGATATGATGCAGTCAAGGAAGCTCTGGTGGATCAAGCTGAGGAATTCAGTGGGCGAGGCGAGCAGGCCACCTTTGACTGGCTCTTCAAAGGCTACGGTAAAGAGTACACCTCATGGGAGTGAGTCCAGAAACACTTGGAGGCTTCTGTTTCCCCAGCTTTTCCCCTGTCTCATCTATCTAAAGTCTTGCCTGGCAAGTGCAAAGGCCTGAGTTCAATCCCTGGTACTGAAAAAAAAAAGATGTCTATCTAAAGTCATGTGCAGGGCTTTGCCTGATCTTTTTTTCCTATCTCTTCCTCATTGTTTCCTTTCCTTGTGCCAGCTTCTGAATTCTCTTAGACTTTCTGTTCATAATTTATTCATGCCTTACTGTCCCTATCTCCCTATTGTCTCTCACTAAACATGCTTCTTTCTGTAGATGTATCTCTCAGAACCTCTTGAGATTTTTGTGCTAGAATCCAGCACCTACAAATTTATCAGACTTTTTTGTTAATCTCAAGATTTGCCTGTTATTTCTTCTATCTTATTTTTTTTATTTTTATAAGAATCTCTTTTCTCTTTCAGAATCTTTCTCTTTCAGAATCCCTTTTCAAAGTCATCTTGCCTATGTTTCATGGTAAAAAAAAAAAAAATCCTCTTTTCCAACCCTGTGTCTTTGTCTTCATACTTTGCTCTATTCTCCAACTTAATTCAGGATTATTTCTCATTTTTCCTTCCTGTGTCTTGTATCCAAGATTTCACTTCTGTTTCCTCTGTACTCTATTACTTCTTCTAATGATCTCCTTCCTCCCCTCCCTCCTCTGATGTCTCTGTAGATCCAGCTCTCCTTTTTCTTCATTTATGTTTTTCTGTTCTCTTTTGCCCCTTCTTCCCTCTTGGGGACTATCCGTTTCTGGGCATTTCTTTGTCCTGACTCACTTTGTATCTATTATACTTTTTTACTCAGGCTTTGGCTCTGCTGCCATCAATCCCCCACTACCTCCTTGTCTTCAAAAGTCCCTTCCCCGTCAGAAACATCCATAACATCTCTCCCAAAGTGTTTCTAACCCTGCCCTTCCCTGTGTTCACATCCGCAGGTGTGGTCTCCAGCTCTTGGGACCGTGCCAAACATCTCCGGCGCTTCTCCATCACCACACTAAGAGACTTCGGTGTGGGAAAGCGTGGCATTGAAGAACGAATCCAAGAAGAGGCAGGATTTCTTCTTGAGTCCTTCAGAGAAACAAAGGGTAAGCAAAGACACTCGGGGTTCCACACAAAGTAGAAAATCAAGGCCAAGAACTACAAATTATGGCATTGGAAGAAGAGTAAAAGGCAGCATCATTATTCCCAGTTCTCTGTCTTGTGCTGGGAATTTGTCTAATCACTGGAAGAGGAGCGTTCTCAAACCCTGAGCTTGAAATGAGAGCCCAATGGACTATGCCTGACTGCCTGCCTCTTCCTCTCTCTTCCCCTCCTTGCAGGTACTTTCATAGATCCCACCTTCTACCTGAGCCAAGCAGTCTCCAATGTCATTAACTCCATTGTCTTTGGGGACCGCTTTGATTATGAAGACAAAGAGTTCCTGTCACTGTTGCGCATGATGCTGGGAAGCTTCCAGTTCACAGCTACTTACATCGGCCAGGTAACCTGTTCCAGCCTGGCCCTACTGCAACCCTACCACAACCTGCAGACTTCAGTTCTGCATGGTACCTTAATCATCCATCCCCTTCTAAAGTCCACTCAAGCTATCCTCCACTACTATACACTTTACAATTACCTTGAAACCCAGAACAAACACCCCATAGAGTCTCTAAGGATACCTCAATATCCACCTAGATATCTCTGAAAGACTGCATCCAAGATGTATGCCCTTCAATCAGTTTTCCTACCTGAGCAAATGTTCCCTGGGAAAACCTCAGATATCCCTACCCAGTCATCTGAATTTCTTAAGACATGAAAAAATAAGTGTCTCAGCTCAGCTTCTGAATAGCTAAACACTTGGTACTATAAAATCTAATCCACCAAAGTCATTTGGCCACCCAATTCTCAAACCAGTGGGCTAGAAGAGCAGGACAAAAACCACTACTCATCCCAATAAATACATGAACACTTGCACAGATACACAATAAACACTCTAATTGCATATATATATATATTCCAAATACAGAAGTAAGTGTCCTCCAATACTGTCATCTCAATAGTCCTCATTGGGATACCACTCAAGTCCATACCTTAACACCTAAACAATTCAGTAAGTACAACCCCAACTTTAAAACCTACACACATAATGGCTGAAAATCTGTAGAGAAAGTGAAAATATAAATCATACAGATATTGTGACATTGACATCCAACATAGCCCTCTAGAAACCTTATCCACACAAGTCCATCAGAATACCTGAGTAGCTCAACATCAAGATGTCTTCCTAGCCAATCTCACCTGAATATCCTAACATTTTGGTCAGTACTGTTATTGTCACCTGAAGACTAGTCATGTAACCCATTTCACTTAGATTTTTGGAAGTATCCCTTGTATGTAGCACGCATGAAAACTTAAATATGTTTTCCCTTCTGCTTCAGCTAAATTCCTGAACATTTGGACAGATATTTCAAGCTAGGGATTTTCTTGCCTGAGACAGGTTCCAACCCCAGCTGTCATTCCATTTTGTGCTCTCTCTCTCTCTACACCCAGCTCTATGAGATGTTCTATCCCGTAATGAAGCACTTGCCAGGACCACAGCAACAGGCTTTTAAGGAGCTGAAGGGGCTAGAGAACTTCATAATCAAAAAGGTGGAGGAAAACCAGCGCACACTGGATCCCAATTCTCCACGAAACTTCATTGACTCCTTTCTCATCCACAGGCAGAAGGTACATCCAGAAACCATGATGAGGAAGTCCCAAACTAGGCAGAAGAAGTCAGGATGGGTGAAGTGTAGAGATCTAATTGCATCATCTTGGATCATAATGGTCTTCACCATGCTCATCATAGTTGGTCATCACTGTTCTATTTGTGAGTCTTTGTGTATAGGCAGAATATGAGCATGTAAATCATAATGGCAACCACCTCTACAACATTGTAACACACCTGGTACAATTATAAGTGCTTCATAGAGTCAGTCACAATAGCCTGTATATATCTTATTACCTCATACACAAAAAGAGAAATTGCATGTCAGATTGTAAGTGAATTTCCTGAAGTCACACAGCAAGGAAAATATGAACTATACCTCAAATCCTCCCTGACCCTAATTATGATACTTTTGGTCACCATGCTTTCTAACCTTTTGTAGTCTATTCATTACCTACCTATGTAGTATATGTGGATAGGTGACCTGCCTAAAAAGTCTTTCTATAGACTGTGTAACTGCCATCATCTGCCTGTCTCCCATGTGTGAGAAATAAGGTGCAAAACTAAGGCATTCAGAGATGTTCCTCTATGGGAATCTTAAAACTGGGGAATAAGTAGGATGTTTTCACCATATATGCTCTATCTATCTATCTTTCTACCCACTTAACTACCTGTCTATCTATCTCTATCACCATTTGTAAATATTCTTACTAACTAGAAACAACTGGGAAACTGAAAACAGATAGTTGGCCAAAGATCATTTTAAAAAAAAAAAACATTTTTCACAGAGGTAGCATAAAATGAGGCAAAAGTCTCACAGATAGAAGGCCTCTCTTCCCACTTTAGCTCCAGACCCAAGACAGGTAAGTTCAAAGAAATAATGCCAGAAAGTCTCCAAATGGGTAAGTGTATTCACGCTAATAGCTTTTCTCCTTATAGGAGAATAACTCCAACACAGAGTTCCACATGAAGAATCTAGTTATGACCACGCTAAATCTCTTCTTTGCTGGCACAGAGACAGTTAGCACAACATTGCGCTATGGTTTCTTGTTACTCATGAAGCACCCAGATGTGGAAGGTAAGGCTGTAATGGCAGGGGTCAGATCACAGACCTTGAAGCACCCCTAAACTTTCTGCAGTTTCTCCAACTCCCCACATCTCTGGAGTCTTATATACACCTGGAGAGGCAGGGGAGATAGTCCACTAAGAGGCACAAGCCTATTTTCAATAGCCATTAAATATTCATAAAAACAATTTTTTTGTTAAATTACTTGTCTAACATCCAGAGGATCTGTCACCTATTCTGTGAGTCATTCCCTGAGTCTCCTTCTTTATGGATTCCTTATGATTCTAGAATGAACAAGTCAAGAAAATTCTGCCCCAGAAAAGTATATGGCCAGTAGTTATTTGGATGGCACACATACATATCATAACAAATTCCATTTAAGTTTTCAAATTTGGACTAGCTCCCTGCTCTGAGCCTCCTGGAAAACTAAACACATTCTCCCTTCTCCTGCAGCCAAGATCCATGAAGAGATTGACCAGGTGATTGGCAGAAATCGACATCCTATGTTTGAAGACAAGGCCAAGATGCCATACACAGACGCAGTGATTCATGAAATCCAAAGATTTGGAGACATGATTCCCATGGGAGTGGCTCGCAGGGTCACCAGGGACACCAAGTTTCGAGATTTCCTGCTCCCCAAGGTACTGCCTTGCCCAGCCTACAGGGAACTCTAACTCACACCTGGGACCCTAATACCTATTCTCATTAGAAGATTGATAATCCCTGTCTCATGTATTCAATCGAAGACTTCTGCTCCCCTCTGAGAGGCCTAACTCCCATGTCTCCCCAACAATTTCTGTTGCGTGGAAGTTAGTCACTTCCCTTAGAAAATACCTGTCAAGTCCACTTCCAATAGAAGTTATTTCTTAGGGACAAGAATTTCATGCTTCTCAAATGTCCATCCCAGAGAGATAAACTCCAAATCTCTCAAGCATACCATCTCAAGGAATGAAGATGTCTCCTAAGAGACATGATCTTCATACTTCTAACTTCATACCCCAAAGATAAAGGCCTTCAAATTTCAACACCTTCCTTCCCCAACATCCTGATTCAAAGGGAGTTATCCTGTCAATCACACATCAATTCTCAGTAAACATTTGGCCCTATGACCACAAATTACCACTCATTGGGAAATTAATTTCATGTCCACCAAAGCTCCTCTCTCACAGAATCACAACTCCCCTACTTCCCAGGTATCTTCACTGGGGCACTCTAACTTGCCCTTCTAATGTGTCTGAGCTTTCAGAATATCCAACTATTAATCCATTTATCAACTTCACTTTCTCATCCCTGCCAGGACACTGAAGTGTTCCCTATCCTGGGCTCTGTGCTGAGAGACCCCAAGTTCTTCTCTAACCCTGGAGATTTCAACCCTCAGAACTTCCTTGATGAGAAGGGGCAGTTTAAGAAGAATGATGCTTTTGTGCCTTTTT